AATAAACTTACGTGAAATGCTCAGAAAAGCATTCAGCAGAGCGTCTTGCACTAGGAAAAAAATCAAGGAGATTGTCCTCCATTTTACCTCGCTTCAAAATTGATATAAGATCATCTAAACTGTTATCCACCAAATATTCCTTGAAGAAATCAGTAATAAATGAAAGAACTAGCCCCTTTGCCACAAGATTGTCCTTGAGCAATGGCTGGAAAACCGTCTCAGGCGGAAGACCTGATAGCTTCTGAGAAAATGTAAGGGCTGTAAAAATGGCAAGCTTCTTCCTTTCATTCTCCTCAAAGAGCTCCAAGGACTGCAGAAACTTTCGCATAACATTTTCAAGATTTTTAATTAAAAAGGGCCTTCGCCGCAAGATTTTCTGTATGTAGAGAACAGAAGGCAAGATAGCTTCACGTTTAGGATGGCAATCTAGAACTGAGTAAGGATGCCTCTCTCCTTCATCCGGTTTTATTGTACCAGGTTGTGTCCGGCCACCCGTGAAGACAACCTAGAATCAGCACTAGATACGATCAATTGGGTTGCTGAGTAAAAAAAGACAACTAAACATATGATGTGCACCAAAACAGCAAAGCAATGTAAAACACCTGGCTTACAAAAGCAATATTTGTTTAGCGTGCAAGGCTAGTCATGAACTCAGAAACACACATTCGTATTAATCAAAAGAAATATAACATTTTCTCACACTGGACAGAATAACTAAAGATGGTTGTCACAACAAGCAAGTACAGCACCAAGTATCTTTTACAAAATATGCACCGGTTTACAAGTTTATGATATTGTTGACAATGTAGTATTTGCAATCCTTGTGCCATGAAACATAATGTCAGTTTATAATAATATGCAAAAAAAACTACCATACTGCAATAGATAACCAGACACCCAGGCAAACTCCCATAACCCTGTTTCTGCCAAAGGTAGCAATAAACAGTTGCTTTTCATAAGCGTGTAAGAGTGTCATATTTTTTGCAGCAATCATGTCATTTCAAACAGTTCCATGCGAAAATTTAGATAGCCAAGTTGTCAACCACTGTTTTTCCCTACTTGTCCAATATGATAGCGTGACATAGACATTCTATAGAACATGGTTTGCCTTATCGGTCTGTACTGGTATACCGATCGATTGTCGATATGGTATGTATCGATGTACCAATACATTGTACGGTGGGGCATACCAACACATTGTACGATGGGACATACCGACAAATTGATATGTATCGCCCATATTGGTTCCCTCTCAGACAGGTACATATGGGCGGTACACCATGATATAGCAAACCTTGCTATAGAATATGAAGCGTGAGATAGGCATTCCATAGAAAAGGCCTTTGATCATATTTCTGAGACTTCACCTTGAAGAGAGGGCAAACCAAGACACTTCTTGTCAAACAAATTTTTATTCAACTTTAGATGTTCATGTTGAATATCAATCATGAATAACACCTGTTCTGCTACATAAATCCTGTCTTATTTTTAACACTAACCATATTTTGCAAATGATTTCAATCACATTTGAAATTGTGTACCTGTTATCAACTAATCCAAACTAGAATGAATCCCGACGCAGATTTATGGATAAAATATTAAAGACTTCCATGAGAGACGAAACCCGGCAGGTTATAGCTAGGTTTGTATTGTCAGTTGGAGGGACATCATATTTGTGTTTTGTCTCAGTACTATCAGGTTGATGATTATTACCCAAAAACAGATCATACAGGGGTGGGATTAAGCTCCAAAGTAATTTGTTATGCAAGGAGATGGTATTTGTCAAATTAAAAGTATCAGATGCATTTCAAAAAGAACAGGACCTATGCCAAAAACTATGATCAGGTTCTTCATATCAGCATTAGTCTATTGATTTGCACATATGGGTACAAGTGTGCAACCATCTTGGAACAGTGATGGGGCAGCTCAGGATTGGGTTTTTGCAAACCCCAAGCCAGTTCCACTCACTCAGCTAGCTTTAGCTGACCCCAAACCAGCAAGCACCAGGAGAACACAATCAAGAAGACAGATAGGCAAAACACAGAATGTATTAGCACAGAAGAAAAAAGTCATTTATTGCTCACAATCACATGGAAAATTATCATAAAATTACCTCGAAAAAGGTGTCACCGTATCTTGAGAAGTTAAGATCGGAAGATTCAACATTCTTTGCAACAAGTTCCTGTCAGAAGAAAATTTTACAGGGATCATGTCAAGATAAAGAGAAGCTCCAGATTAAAAATGATTGATCCAAGTTGATATGCAATGCGCATTGGCAGTATTAGGCAGAATAATAGAGGCATGAACGAAATACGTTGTAAAAGATATCATGTTTTTATTAAATTCCTCTTTGGAGTCACAGGTGAATTCCTATTCAAAGTTAACAACAGTATGATCCTGAGTTCTTAAGTGGGTCATGGCTGCAAGAGGAGTTTTGACGAATAGATATTGTTTAGCTTCACTGCAGGCATTGCCTCCTTTCTACTAATATATCTCTCAAATTCCTCCGTTTATATTATCAAATTCTACAAACTGTTATTACTCGAAAAGCAGTTTGCCCTTGCTACATTAAAGTTCTCACTTTATTCCATCCTTCTTAGTACTTTGGACTTACAACATTTTATTCATAAATTGTGGCAATTATTTTTCTGTTAATTTCTGTGCACACAGCAGCAATCAAACTGCTAGATTCAATCAGATCAGATCTCAAACTGGCAAGCTTTACAAACATGTATAGCACTAAGTAGTGCCTAAGCCTTCTTCATCGGGCGTGAATAATCAACTCCAGCCATCTTTATTATTTATAACAATGATCACTATATGCAGTCTCAACAACCACCACTTTTCTGCAGCCTCATCACAGATGCAATCTGGCTACTGAATTCAGTTTGACTAGAAATCAAGTTCTTTGTCTACATTCTTTACCTTGGGCATCAAAGTAAGAATTTCAGTTCACATCGCATAATGTTAAACAGAAACAAGGTAGCTTGCTATCTTCACCTAACTTTTCAATATAAACATACCAGATCACCAGCATTCTCCAGATATATCTGGACCACTGCATCTGCAAAAGCTGCAGGGTCCAAAGGAGCAGTGATATTCCGTTTGCGGGTCTTTATCCGCGTGCCACTGCATTGCCAAAAGAATCATTAACCTAACTTGCATTGCATTATTCAATAATAATATTTGCAGTAAATACAAAGCCTTCTAGATATATGATCATCATTACAAATATGGAATAAAAAAAAAACTGAATCAATCCCATAGAAACACACATAAAAAACTACACTAAAATGTATCCTAAATAATAATAGTCACAAATGTGTGAAGATATTACTATTGCCTTTTTAAGTACAAAAAGTGTAACATTCAAATTAGCAATTTGATATGTGTTCCACCATATGGATTTTTATCCAACATTGCTGTCCAAGTAGCTGTCATCTTACAACTAGTTGCTGCTGTATTATCATCCAAAAATTTTGCCTAACTTGATATGCACACGCAAGCCGCTTGTAGGGAACTTGGGCATCACCCCGGTGCCTAAAGCCAAAATTGTGACAACTTCTCAATCGCAAATTTCGAACAAATTAGTAGGTCAGTTAACAGTAAGAAGCAAGTTTTTAAAGTTTCAATTAGCACAATCTTTTAAGAAAACTTTTAGGAAGGATGACTCAAATTTTAGACAAAATTTCTTTCTTGCAAGGTAAATACATTTTAAACCCTATATATATATATATATATATATATATATATATATATAACTTAAGTCTATCTGAGTCTTTCAAAAATAAAGTGCAGCATCTGATCATTCCCAAGTTCAGCACACGTACAATTAATTACTCAAAAAACAACTATTCAATTGTGGTACAGCATGTTTTTTAAATACATACATATATATATGTATGTCTATGTGTGTGTGTACTTTCTACCAATTCGAATTTTTCCAATATCAGTTTTGTATGCCTTCAAGGCCTAATACCGCATCTGATCATTCCCAAGAGCAGATAACTCCATAATCACATAACACAAACAATTAACTAATGAGCAAGCTATGATGCACCCTTTAAAATGAAATCATACTCTGATTCTAAATAATCAGATCACGCAACATATTCACAAAATTAAAAACAAATTATCATAAACGAAGGGAAGCAGGTCAACATACCCTAGAGTGGGTTTCTCCTTCGAGCTGCATAATTATCCAAAAGAAAAGAACAAATTATACATTGGCAAACTTAAAACACAATATCAAGAAGGGAAAATTAACTAATGGCTCATCTTACACAAATGAACTTATTTTTACTATTATATCTCCCACAAAAAAAAAGCAAATTTAATAACCAGAATCTGATCAGATGAATCAGCTCAAAAAAACAAAGATAACGGAGAACATGTTACATCACAAAATCAACCGACATGCGATGGAAAGAAAAGGCAATCACTAAAAGAAAGCATTTGGTTTACGAATTTGATAGCAAAACGAAGGTCAAATCTTTCAGCCAAATTCACTTCTCAAACAAAACTATGACATAGCTGCCGAATCAAGAACTAAAACGGGAGATCTAACATGTCATCATCAAAAGCTTGGATTTCTAGCAGAAATCGCCAAAAGGAACGTGAAGCGACTCCTCAGAAAAAACAAATCCAGAAGAGTAAAGAGAAACCAAGCAGAGATCGAACTGATTACCTCATAAACCAAGACCGAGATGGCTCGAGACAACTTCGAACAAGGAAGCGAGAGAGAATACGCCCTTTTTCTCGCCTAGAGCACGAAGGGAACCCAGTAATATTCGTAGAACCCTTTATTGGAGTCGGTATAGTGAGCTCGAGCGCATTTCTAATAGCGTATTCTCGTCATTCTATATTTCTTCAAGATTGGGAAGCAAGCTTTAATCTAACGGTAGGTACCGATTCGATGTTCCTTACCGTAAGCTGCGAGTGCATCATACCATATTACATGCCACTTTGCCCGCGCCTGGCCTCCCCGTCTCCCGCCTCGGCGTACTTCCCGTCATCAACCCTTACGGCAAATGTGGATCCCTCACCATCTCCCGCCACGTTCCTTGGCATCTTCGTCGTGGACCTCATCTCCTTCAACGCCCTCCTCATCGCCGGCGCATGCCTTGGCACTTGCACTCCCGTCCGCCTGGCGGCTCTTCAACACCAGGCCCTACCGGAACATCATCTCGTACAACGCCTTGGTCGTCCTCTTTTCCGCCACCGGGGATTTCCCTCCGCTAGGGCCGATCAGATGCCGGACTAGATCGGACGCTTGAGGTGGTCGAGTGCTGCAAGGCCAGTGTCGTCTTTGCCGCTGGGAACTGTTCGACAAAATGCCCGACAAGAGCCTGGTCCCGTGGACTGTTATGATCACTGGGTTCTCCCGGTGCGGGAAGCTTAACGAAGCACTTGCACGGTTCACGTCGTCTCTGCCTTGGCTCACTTAGGGAGCGTGGATCTGGATCTAGAGGAATGAGCACGGCCTCACCAATGCATTGTCATACACCATTAATAGGTTCCCGTCCTGAACGTGGCACAACATCTTCTTTGACAGATGCGAAAGGAGGTGAGCGACTTAGATCCTTGGACGTTTGTCAGCTTGCCGAGTGCCTGTAACCATGCAGGGTTCGCCACGAGGTTCGTGAATATGGTTTTGGAGAGGAGGACAAGTACTGTTCTTGCATTGCAGACATACTTGGACAGGCATGGAAGCTTAAAGAAACACACGAGATAATTCAGAGCATGTCAGTGGAGCCTTATCAAGGACCTGCTTTTGGCATTGCTTGGAGCTTGGAGGACTAGTGCCAACATCGAGATGGCAGAGAGGAGCTTTTAGGCTGGAAGAGAAGTATATGGGAAACTGCACACTCAATATAGTATATGTGTGGAAAGAGAACAATGGTAAGAAACTGTGAGAATTAGAGTAATAATAATAATAACGTATTGAAATTTCAAAAACTTATAGGCTTTAGCTGGATTGACATGTAGTGGAGAGCCTGTAGATTTCAGAATTAAGTGCTGACATGCATCGACAGTAGGATGGATCTGTTTATTGCCTTCTTTTCTGATTAGTCCTAGAACGTGGTAATGATTGGTCTATAAGGCGCAGAGCATTGATACTTTGGACTGCCAGCGCTTAGCTGTGGTTTCACAAATGTGATCTTATTGTGGTTCTTTTAATACAATAAACAGCAACTAGTTGTGTGGATTTTCAGGTGAGGAACCATTTGTGACATGGGATTATATCAGATCTAACCAGTCACTTGAAATGTTATGTGGTAAAATGAGTTGAAGATGATATTATAGTCTCAGTGGAATCATTTTATTAATTTGAAAACAAAGGCCTTCTTTTTTGTATATATTTTTGTATCTGAAAAAAATATTGTTAATTATCTCAAATTATGATGATTGCATACTAAAGCAAATAAAGGAGGGCCATAAGAATTATCTAAATATTGCTTGGAATTGGCATACAAGAACTTCTAAGGTTGATCATGGTACTATGAGGAGGGCCATAAGAATTATCTAAATATTGCTTGGAATTGGTATACAAGAACGTCTAAAGTTGATCATGGTACTATGTAAAGTAATAGAGTGCCTAAAACCGAAGCTCTGTTTTGCAACATGATTGTGAAGTTGACTTTTTTCATCAGAACCGAATGAGGTGTTGGTTGCAGAGACTAGAGAAGTACCACTTGATCTTTAAATTATTTATCCTGCTTCTTGATCCAATTCCAACAAGCTGGCAGCCATTTGTTTATTTCTTTGAGGATGTGTGACCTGGGGATCTTGAGTTAGCCAAGTAATTTCATATTGAGTGGTACATGAGCAGTTGTCAGAGCATCTCTCAATGACCGCAATTACACAGAGCCATCAAAATTGATATCAGACAATCTAAGTGGGCAACTAATGAAGAGCTGTTTTTGTGGGAGACACTAAGGCTGGTGCAAAAGTATCAGATATTAGGGGATGTTGCTGCACAATGGACTTCAGTTGCTATACAGTGGTATCTGGGATTGTTAGTTTTGCTTTAGTGCTACCTTTTCCATGACAACATTTTCTGCCTCCTATGAACATGACATGAGCAAAGTCAATCTGTAAGTGTTCTCCTTGAGCATAATTTAGAGTGTAGCCAACTGATACGTATACTTAATTGAGAATCTCATCATATTGGTAGACCTTCCATCTCTGGTTAGGCAAAATCATAATCTTATGTAAATCAGTGTATATCATGATGTCTTCTATATTAAAATTCAAAATTCTAATCACTCCATCAAGGAAAAGAAATGCATAATACAGTAATATTCTCATGTGTGTGATGCTACACCTTTTTTTAGCTTAGATAATCAACTGTCATTTACTTTAAGGTCTGCCAATAAAGAAAGAGTGTCACAGAACTAGCAAAATAATTCCTATCACAGATCTTTAAAAAGGTGTCTCCTTGTTATTAAGCATTTCATGTTCTGAATTGCTTTATGTAATCTTTGAATTTCATCTCCCTCATGGCATCTCTAGTGATGGAGTAGACTGTAATATGTGGACTGAGAAATGCCTAAATCAGAGTGTTCATTTTAGTTATGAGGTGATACAACAACTGACTGAGACTGGGTTTCAATGTAAGCTTTGTGCTAATAAGAAATTTTGGTGAATCTGGTGCATCATAATCTTAGTCTAGACATAGACTGAGATGTGGATTATACTATTTATTTGTTATTTATTGGACTGTCATTTCCTATGCTCTCAAAAAAAAATCTAAATATCAAAATTGGTAAAACAAGTGACTTTTTGATGTTTTTCAAAGATTTATAATCTGGTTCAACTTGCTCTTGCAAATACAGATAGAAGCAGATATTAGAAGTGCCTGATATCCATTCCTCAACAGTGATGTTCCATTTAGGCATATATATGTCTTGTAACCAAAGTCTGTTTATTGTCAACCAAAACAAAAAATTCTAATGATTATACTATGGCAATGATTATCACTTGCTCTAGCATAGGAATATGGCCATGGTTGACAAAATAGAGGGTTTAGAGAAATCATGAGCGAAGGTCCCAATTTTTGAATAAGGACAAAGATATCAAATATTATCAGAGTTCCAGAGCTGACCGGTGGAGTTTAAGATACAGGATTGTTATGTATGGCAGGACACCGGTGGAGTTCAATAATAGGTTAATCTTCTTGTCTGCTTTAGTTAGCTTAAATTCTGGAAACATCTGGATCACAATCTTCCAAAGTTCTGATGGTAACTTGCTGGATGTAGACCTTTTTCAGCCATTAAATGGCCATCGCTGGCAACAACTTGCTTGTTGGTGGTTACCTGGAGTTTCCAAAGTCCTCTTGTGCATAAAATAACTGCCATGGCAATATCGAAACAAGGAAAATATCATGTCGGCTAATGAGATGGAAGTTTTTGTTGTCAAGGAAAATGCTGGATTCATATGGGTTAAAGTTACAGTCCCAAAGTATTGGAAACATTATTCTATAAGTTATTCAACTCAACAGCATCAGAAACATGAGGTTAAGCCCTTAACCTGCAGCTATAAGGTTACCTTCATCATCACAAAAGAAGAGGTATTTGATTAGATTTTTAACTCTGCTGTTCACTGAATTGTTCTATATATTCAGATTTTACCTTGGTGAAAATTTTCATGTAATTTGATTATAGCCCTTTACTGTGAATTTAAAATTAGATCATTGAATCAGATATCAGTTTCCACTATGAGAAAGGACCTTTATAATTTTCATTGACCACCAGATCTCATTACTAAAAATTTTTGAGTTTATATTTTCCATTTCTTAGGTGCAAAATTATCAAGATGAGACATTGCTCGTTTTTGAGCTAGTGGTTTCTGGATAAAGGGCCAGAGACGCCATAATTTGGTCCATGCAGAACCACAGTTCCACCTGTTATGCAACTTCACTCCAAAGCAGCGGAATCCAAGTTAGTGCCAGGTTCTTCATCAGGATAATGCACAAAGCCAGTACTCCTGTACTAGCACATGCACTTTGTTGTCTGGAACTACCAAACCACGGATTCGATAAGATGTTATTGTCAACGAAACAACTTGAAACCCCTAGTTTCTGCTACCTGTGTTCCAGCTAATTCATCTGCCTCAATAAGTCAATTCACTTGGCACATATTATGGAACTACAGGTACCTTCATAGCTACTGTTTGACTTTATCTTACCTTATTAAGTTCTTTGTTTGAAAGATGTAGACATGTTAACTGTTGCTTTGTTTCTTGATTCCACTTTTGTAGGCTAGTCTTCTTCTTTGCTTTCGTTAGCATGGGTTCTGTAACCAGTCGGTCCCCCGTATAGAAGAAACCATCACAATCTTCCAAAGTTCCAATTGGTACCTTGCAGGGTGTAGCCATTGCCAGCCATCAAATGGCCATGGCTGGCAACAACTTGTTTGTTGGTGGTTGGCCTGGAACATCCAGGAGTACACCTGTGCATATAACAACTGCCCTAGCAAGACTCTGAAGGGATCAAGTCAGTGATGAGATGAAAGTTCATTTTATCAAGTTGCTGGATTTAGCTGGGTAAAGTTTACAGTCTCAAAGTATCGGACATCAGAACCATGAGGATGACCAACTCTCTTGCACTGTGAGTTCTCCTCCACAAGCTTGTTAAACTCAGTTCAAGCATTTCTTATATGATAGTTTCCTCATTTAAAAGGAAAATAAGAGATTTCTTTATGGCCTATCTCTGTTCTCATCCTAAAAGATAAACCAGTTAGCTATCACCAAATGCCGATTCTCTGTGCATGAGGTTTTATTTTAACATTCCAGTAAATGGCAACAAAACAAGGAGCTCTTTTTTTTTCCTGGAGGATGAATGGACTCACATCCAACAATTGAATCACAAGTTCTAATCTGAACATTTCAAAAAATTAATTCTCATCCCCAACCCCATCCCTCTAATCTCTCCACTTCTTTTTGGTATTCTTTTTCCTCAAAAACCCAAGTGAAATATTTTAGGGGGCACATATTATTAGGTTCATGTCCCCTAATTGGAGGAAATTTTTTATTCAACTAGGTGTGTGCATTCAATGACATATTTAAAGGGGGGTGAATTGGTAACTAATCTCATGAATTTTGTGCATGTCAGATTAAATCATTCCTACCGAATGGTAATAGAGACTTTATCGCTTTGTTGTTGTTGTTGTTTATAGACTCTCCAATGATATAAATCATTAGTATATTGGTAATGTAATAATAAGGTGTGTACTTAGAATTCCCTACATAGAATTCTATTCTCAGCTAGTCATAAGGTGTGTAGCAACCATTGCTTTCAGCCATTGTGTTGACCAAGTTTGCAGCTCATGTTAGAGGCATTCTTAGGATGCACTTCAGATACTCTTGTCAGACCTGCAAAGATGCCCTCAGAAAAGCTACATGCCATGATCACTTTCAACTCCAACAACTACACATACACCTTTCACATGCCTACAAACAGATGCAGCTCATCCAATTGTTCCCTAGCAAAGTACACCTCTTCATGGAAATGTGTATCAACTGGCTCTCTGCCCTGCTACATCTTTGACAATTTTGTCAGCAGACCACCACTTCTCACTACTCCCCAAATCTGATACTAATGTTCCCTGCAATTCACTAGCAGCAACTTGTTTCAACATTGCCAATAATTTTCTAGGATTACCTCTCATAATCATTGCTTTGTGTATCAATCTGATCAGGTCTTGGATCACTGGATTATTGATTTATTGAATGAATCAATTGATTTGCCTATAAGTTTAATAAAATTATTCATATATGTTTAGAAAGTTCACATTACCTTTAACAATGATTAATTAGTGAATCAAACTAAATTGAGTTTTGCAGACTATTTTCTGATGGCAAGGAAAATATTTTATTTATGATATGAAGGCTCGGAGGCAAAAGGATGAACCGACTGTTTATATTACGTACAGACAAATGTTATACAAGACTCGAAGCATTACTTACAGAGCAAAACAACACAAAGGTAGTAGCAGTAGTAGGAAGAAGAAGAAGAAGAAAAAGAACAGAGCCCCAATCTCCCCTACTTCGTTACATTTTGTCTCCTACCACCATTTCATTGACTCAGGAAGACAGCAGATCTGATGCAATCTTCCATCTCAAGTAGCAGCCTTTCCGTCGACATCTTGATCGAGTTTGTACTGGAGTTTGCCCAGTTGACTCAAGTTAGTGATTTGCATAGGAATTGCCGTTAATGATGAAGGCACAGAAGAAAGCTTACCTGAGGGGAAAAAGAGAGGGGAGTGCAGTCGGGAGGGAACTCGAAGAGGGAGAGGGGGAGGCGCTTGTCGACAACGCCGACGTCGAAGTGGATGATGCCGGAGGCGTTGTCGTCGAGGCGGATGGCGAGGACGGGGAACCAGAGGAAGAGGTCCTGGGCGGAGACGCCGGAGAGGGCGGCGATCTGGCCGGGAGAGATGGTGCCGGCGAGGGTGGCGTTGTAGCGGACCTCGCTCTCGAACTTGGCGGTGCAGGGCGCGTCGAGCCGGGCCCGGAATCGGCCTCCGCCGTCCACCTCGAACTCCCTCACCCCCTTGGGCAGCAGGCCGATGGGGAGGCCGTGGGAGCGCAGCACCTCGTAGGCGCTCGGTGCCGCCGCGGTGGAGAGGTGGAGGAGGGAGATGAGGAGGAAGGAGATGAGGTGGGGAAGGAGCATGTTGCCTGCCTTGGCTCCGCTCTTCTCTATAAAGTTTGCTGCTTGCTTTTTGTTTTCTTGGGTTTTGTTTGGGTGTCGACGAAGAAAAGGAGGCGAAAAAGATGATTGTGTTCGAGTTAGGAGAACGAAAGAAGAGGTGCTCGAGGAAGAGAGAGAGAGAGAGAGGAAAGAAAGAATTGGGGCAGCAATAATGCATGGGTCTATTGGGGGCAGCAATAATGAGGACCCACTTATAGAGATTTTTTTCTTTTTTTATTTACTTCAAATGTAATATTAAACGATAGAAAAATCATTTTAATTACTTATTTACGATCTGAATAAATTTATACTGACCAATGTTTCGTGAATTGAAGCATCTTCGTTTATATGCATTTGCTTTGAGAACCGTGCAACAGTGCTTGGAACACGACCACATTCTTTGGATGGTCAGAGCTCGAGAAGTCTCTCTTCTCCGTAGAGTGAATACTTGCTATGTGGTGGATGGAATTCTCCTGTAGACATTCGATGATCGTGTTATAGATATGTACCGGAGATTTGACAGACTTATGAGTCCTCCTCAACCAGAGACTAAATGACTTTATGGTCATCGGGTATATCAGTATATTTTTATCCTTTTCGAAACATGTAAGCTCCAAAATGCATTTTAATGGTAAGGAAAACCTTACGGACTCATGAACATTTGGTTCATATATTCTTCAATCAATGTGGGACTAAATGGATTTATTAATTATATTTTTATTATAATACGATTTATTATAAAAATATTTTTTTATCTTTTTAATTATACATGATTTTTAAAAACATTATATCAAAATTACTGTTCAACCATTTGATGCACTAATCGAACTTGTAAAATTAATTATATAAGACTTGAGGATGTGAGCTAACTTAGCTGATAGAGATATATAAGATCAATAGCAAAAAATATATCTCATTATAAATATATATATATATATATAGACACTTAATTACATCTCCATCAAAGGTTTGATAATTTTTTGCAGATGTTGGCAGACAAGACATGCAGAGAAAGGATCTCAATTATGAACACAAATCCACAGCTCCTCATCATTATTATCTTTCATCATATCATCTACTCGCTTGTGGAAGTCAAGCAAAACTGACCCCATCCCCACTGGATGAAACAAGATCCACATTATGACATAACAATAGATGATAGTAACAGGGAAAGCTGCAGCTCTGCAGACTCTTATATATATATATCTATATCTATATCTCAAGAATCGATGAAGTTCCCAACTCCAACATTTATGTTGTGGCTACGAATAGAGTCATGACATGATAAATGCGTTAAAGTCAGACTGATGAATATTCCTCGATGACTCTTGAAATATTAATTAAAATATATAATATGATTATATATATATATTTATATATATTAAGAATAGGGTTTGAACATTGCATAAAAGAAAGAGTTTTTGTCTCACGATGAACCTTACTATAAGCCTCCATTGTTAGCTTTTAGGTTGTCGATTAAACCCCAATTTTAAAGCAAAAAAAAAGAAGAAAAAGGTAATAGAAATTAACATTACGACATTAATATTTTATATTTATTAAGTTGATGAATTAACTATCCCATTGGTTGGATCATATACCTACGTCTTATAATTTATTTGGAAAAAATAGATTCACTGGCTTTATATAAAAGATATGGGGTTGGAAGGTATTGGAAAGAAGAAGGAACACTGTTGGCATTATATGCTTGAAAGCAAGGTTTCAAGAAGGTGTGGATGTGTTATGATAGTGCTCTTGTCCTTGTAATAATGTGCTTAATGATACCTCCCACGTTAGAACATGGACTTGGTATGATGACGAGAGAGCATTTGTAGCTATACACAGTCATATGGTTGTACTCAGCCATGATGTTTGAGATTTTATTTTCATATGCATTTGTTCGTGTGTGTGTGTGTGTGAGAGAGAGAGAGAGAAAGAGAGAGAGTAACTGTATCCATTATTTTTATTATCGAACATAATTAAATATCCAATAAACAAACTTATTCCGAACTCTATAGGGATATATATAATAATAATAATAATAATAATAATTTAATCAAACGTGTAGTAATCTAAAAAACCCAAAGCATTGGCAATTAGGAATAGCAAAACAGCATTGGTGAATTCGGGTTGTTTATAGTCTAACTTATGACTTGTTATGATACCATACATAATACAAATTTTAATTGGGTTAAGAAAATATTTAAATTAACAATAAGATTTACCATGGAGAAATTACTTAATTTTGTTAGTGTATGTCTACAAACTTAGATACGAAAATGCATATATCAAATCTCATCGATTAGATAAAGGGAAGGGGGATAAGATGAGAAGTGGGACCCACTCCGACCGCCAGAGGGGGCCACTAAAGCTCCAAGGTAGAATTTTGGGGACCAATATATGTGGAACAATTTTTTTCACTAGAGCAGTCTTTTGGTTTTCTTTTCACTGGTGGCCCACGTCATACGCCACTAGAAATGAAGGTAGGAATATGGGTGTCATTTTCTGTGGAACGATTCTTGTCAAAGCAGTAGCTAATTGTGGGGTCCGGTTCGAGGACCATTAAAGTTCAAGGTAAGAGTTGGCGTGGACAAATCGGTGGAAGTGGCATGGGATGGGTGGTCATGTGAACCGTGGCGGACACAAACCAGGAATGTATTGTACACGTAGGAAATCGTCATCCGAACTACGTCGGCAATAACTGGCAACAAATAGGCGGAGCACGAAGACGGTCGTTCTCCGTTAACGGATTCCAGCATTCCTCTACATCTACATGGCATCGCGCCGTCCTAACCCCCCTCTCGGCGGACCGCAACTCGCCCTCTCCAAACCCCGTGCCTTTAAATAACTCCCTTCGCCGCCTCATCTTCTCCCCCCTTCGATCCCGTGGCGAGCTCGATTCCCCCCTCCTCCCTCCCTTCTGGAACGCTTGGGGGATGTGAGCGTCGCCGAGGGCTTGAGTTCCCCGAGAACAACCCTAGTCAATTCGCTCGGATTCGCCCTTCGATTCTCCCCGCCGATGGCCGACGGAGAGGGGTTCCGTCAATGCAGGTGATCCCTAGTCGAATCTCCTCCTTGGGGCGGGGAATTCGCGGATCTCCGTGTTCTTACTGCTGCTAACCTCGTCGGGAGGCCGGTTCTAGGGTTCACGACGGTCTTGGCCGCCCACGAAGATGTCTCGGCAGGCGGCCACGACTCATTTACACAAATCGAAGACGCTCGACAACAAATACGTGAGTTTTGTCATCCATTTCAACGAATTTTCGTGCCTCCATTTTTCCTTATCCTTGGGCGCGTCGGGATTCGCGTTATTGTTGGATTTCAGATGCTGGGGGATGAAATCGGGAAGGGGGCGTATGGACGGGTGTACAAGGGTCTGGACTTGGAGAATGGAGACTTTGTGGCGATTAAGCAGGTCTCGTTGGAGAATATCCCACAGGAGGATCTCAATATAATTATGGTGCGGTTTCTTACTTTTATTGTGATTTCTTGGTTGCCTATGCTGAGTATTTGAGCGGAATACCAAACTTTTCAATTGTAAATTTATTGTGTTGCTCATATAAGATTTCTAGATTATTTTCTTTTGTTTTAGTTGCTTCCATCGCTACATTTTCGAGTCATGGTTGTCATCCACCAATTTCTTTTCAGACTTTCATTCACTTTCAACTGTATGATTTTCAGGTAAAGTTGTAATAAATTGGAATATCAAACTTTTCAATTAAAACCCTAACAAGGGACGTTTTGCCTTTAAAGAGTGCCTACCTCCATTGACTAACCATTGTATCGTTCATAGATTTCTAGATCAATTCAATTGTCTAGATACTTCCCTCGCTACAATCTTCGAATCATGGATGTCATCTACCAATGTCTTTTCGGTTTTTTGTTCACTTTCTTCTATTTGATTGACAGATCGGATATCAAAATTGTCAATTAGAATCTCAATAATGGGAGTTTTGCCTTTGAATGATGCCTACCTCTGTCGACTAAGCATTGTATTGTCAATAAATTTCTAGATTAAATCAATTGATTTAGAAGCTTATATTACTACATTTCCAATAAGCATAGAAATATACCAACTTTTTTTCAGGCTTTCGTTTGCTGTCTTCTATTCAGTTGTAAGTTGTTTACCATTCCTACATGAAACTGTTTGTTGCCTTGTAGCACATTTTTTATGAATATTCTTTTCTTGATTGTGTTTAGATTTGCAATATGTTGTGTTGTTAATGATTCGTGCTGAAGTGAGACTTGTTCCTCGTTGTTAAATGAATGAAGGGGATATGGGTAACTGTGATTTGAAGTGTGATGATCCCATCGTGATAGCCAATGACATTGTAAGGTGATAGGTCTAGACGTTTTTCCCAGGGGCTTGGTGTTTGAAACAAATAAAGTAGAAAATATGGGGTATGATAAAGCATGAAATTCTTTTATGATTGATTTTCACTTGGTTGATTGCAAAATGTTTCAGCATTGTCGCGTCAGGAAAGGACTAAAACAAATAAATTTAAGAAAAAATTAGCTTTCACATTAACCCCAAAGAAATTATTTACATGTAAATATTTGTTCAAATGATAAGAGATTTGATACATGTGGAAATTTAACACCCGTTATAATGGAGGTGGCAGTAACAGTGGTTTAGGCTATTCATTGTTCTGATGTAAGAGGGGATCATATCCTATAGCCTTCACTGCTCGTTTTCTTTTTTGTTGACTTCTCTTTGATTCGACACCTTCATTTTGCCTCCTAATTTTCTAGTTCTTTCTCTTTTCCTCTGAATTCACATTGCAAGTCTTCTCCCTACTAGTTTCTTTTCTCCTTAGATTTCAACATCTGTAAATTTTTATGGTCAAGCTAGTTTAATGTTTGTAAGTTAAAGATGAGGATGAATTTGTGCAAATCTTGATGCCCAAAGAAATATTTAACTAGAAGAAGAGAACAAAGTTTTGAACAAGTTGTTTCAGAAGTCTGTTATCAAGATTTGTTATTATGATTTAGAACATCATAGCTGCTAAAAATTAACTCCTTATAGATTTATTAATTTGTCTTCATTAAAAAGAAATTAGTAAACTCAAGAAATTCTGTTAGTGGAAGCAAAAATTGAAAAAAGAACACAATGAATATTATAAATCTTTATGTCTTTTAAAGCCATCAATTACTCCAAAATTCAATACTTGAACCTACATAATTGGAGACTTTGCATATTTAAACCTGTATCTCAAGTTAGAATAAGTCACCTACATAGTTTGGGATTTTCCATAATCAAACCTATATCTCAAGTTAGATAAATGATCTACAGAGTTTGGATTTGTACCGAACAATCATGAATAAAGCAACTTTGACCAGTCTGCTTTTAAATTGGGCACCCACCTGCTATGCTCACTGTACCAGGCTTACTGGGTGGTAAGTTGATCGATACCAAGTGTAAAGTCTGGTGCGGTTGTTGTTTGTCCTTTCTATTTTTTTAGTTTTGTAATCTGTTGAGTGCTTATCTTTCTTCTCTTTTTCCTCACTCCTTTGTCGCCTTCTTTTTCTTCTTCTCCTCTTCTGCACCATTGCTGTCTCCTACACCTGATTCCTGTTGTTATTGCCTTCTCCTCCCCTCCTACTGCTGCACATCACTTCCTCCTCTCTCCTTGTACATGTTGTTGTTTCCTACTCTCATTTTCTCTCTCTTTCTCAGTGATCCAAGTGGTATCATCTAGTACCAACCATGCCGGGTGTCAGTATGTTGAATGGCCGATAATGTACCCGTCTGGCTGCCAATCTGTATTCGTACAGAACGAAGATTTTAATCCTTGTGTAAGACACTGATATAGGAAAATATAATAAGGTTTACAAAACTAAATCTACCAACTACCAACCGATATGAACTGGTATTTACTGGTTCAAGCATGTATAGGTAATTAGGTATGCAGCTCATGTTTTTGCTTGGTTTTAGTTCATGGTGGAAGTATTGCCTGTATGGTTACCTCTTTAGTTCCTATTTTGACAACCATCTTTTTTCTTCTCTCCTCAAATGCTTTCTCTTTACTTTTCTTTCTCTTGTTAACATGACATTTCATAGGTATCCCTAGGACTCAAATGAATTGCTTGTTATTGCATGAAAACCTACATGTTTTTTTAACTATTTCATGCTGGAATTTGGAGTTTTACTCTTGCAAAAAGTTAATGAAGTTCTCTTTATTCAATTTTCATGAAAAACAGGATACATAACACTTATTGTTTGCTTCTGAAGTAAATATTAACTCCCCTTAGAATTGATACCTTTGTTGATTGAGACCTTGATTTCTGGTACAAATTTTGATATCATAGACACAATTATAGAGGAGCACTTTGATTATGTGGATTATAATAAGTAACAAAAAGTTCAGCTTGGACCAAGACAACCTGTATGCTAATTTTGGTGCACCAATTTTCATAGGATCTCATTTTACTATCAAGTAGCCAGTATTTTGGTCTACATTTGTTTCTTTTATGAGGTTCACTGAAGAAGGTTATGGCGAGTATGAAAAACGGTTTCATTTATCCTTTTTAAATCTAATCTTTTTGTGCGGCCAGCCTTAAAATACTTTATCATTCCATAGAGATGTTTGCCTTCTTCTCAAGCTTTTGTTATAAGAAACCTATAGTTGAGTACCACTATTTTGATAGGTTGATGAGGATAGTGCAAGCTTTCATTTATCTTCTAAGGCATCTCTAATAATAATTTTTTGATCGTATGCAACTCCTGGTACTTTGCTAAACTAATATGGTAGTTTATTACTAAGAAGCACGAACATGTGCTTTTGGTGGATGTGTCCATGTCCAACATGTGTCAGATATGCAATATGGCCCCGGGGGGTTTACCGTTGGACTTAGTTGGTTCAATTGAACCAAGTTACTATTGAATCGACGCAGAATCCACAATTTGGTTCGACTCGTGCGATTCAATCGGGCGCTCGCCCGAGGTGCTCGACACCTAGCCCGAACACCTAAATGAGCGCTCGGGTGCCTTTTAAAAATGCTGCCCGACATTAGTCTTCCTATATATCGGTCCCTTAGTGGACACTCTGAGCAACCTTCTCAACTATCTATGGACTCCTACACACACAGCCCGGGATCGAGTCGAGCACGCCACTTGACAATCATTCTATCACTTACATTTAGATGATTTTAATTGGTTCAACTTGTATAATGATATTTATTTGTTCATATTGTTGAGTTTATAAAATTTAAGTATAAATACCGTAAAACTCATGTTAATCAAACTTAAGTATATATTAAAATAATACATGTGTCCTCGCCATGTCCTTATCCTAATTTTTTTAAAAATGGCATCTCGTTCTCGTCGTGTCCATGTCGTGTAATGTCCGTGTCCTGTCTCTGCATCTGTGCTTCTTAGGTTTAGCATACAAGGCATGATTACTTTGGGAACTAAATAAATTTATGCATAATGCGGGAGAGGAGGTGAATCATTTGGAGATTAGGGGTAAATTTGTTCAAAATTCGTTGGGTTAAAACCATTTGACTTATGTTTTGAAAGTTTAATTTAAATCAAGACAAAGTTAACTTCTAGCTTGATTGTATTTGTTTATGGATTGCGATGCTTTATGGATTTTCTGCATAAGCATATGATGCTAGTTCTATACTATTTTGTAAACAATATTAGCTATTGATTCCATTGACTTGTACCAATAGTTTATAGTGGTTCATTCCTTAGATTATGACATGATTACTGCACAGATGTTTGTAAATATTGTTGTGCTTATAATGTGAAAACAATGCACAATGTTATCTACAGGTTTTCATTGAATGCGCTCACTGCTTGGATTTATCTAATAGTTTCTTTCTTTTGCTTCTCCATGAACTCCTTGGGTGTGGTCATATTTCAAAATCCAGCAAGAAATTGATCTCCTAAAGGTAACACTATTTTTTCTACTGCCTGGTAATTTAAACATTCACTTGATATCATGTCATGAAATTTCAATGAATTTCTCCATGAAACAACAACTGCAAGGCTGTAAAGTCTCAACCATTTGAGATTGGCTACGTAGATCTTTTACTGTCATTCTACCTATTTGGGTTAGTTACATGGATTTTTTTGCCACCATTGAGATATTTAAGGATCCATATTTTTAGTTAAAAGTATTTCTGCAAAAAATGGTTTTATTCCTAATTCTCATTTGCAAAATTGTCTTGCTATCTCAATCCCAACTCAACTTGATTCATATCCCACAAGGGCATGTTGCAGCATGTTATATCCTATGGCACAAATTAGCGTAGCTTTGTTTGCACCAATAACTAGCAAATATTGAACATTCAGTTCAGAATTTGCAGAAGTACTGGTTTCTCACTAATTCCACTTATTCACTGATTCATCAAAGAACACTACTTGCAGAAGAACGTGCTGGTTACTGGTTATCACATCAAGTTTTACATGCAAGTAGATTGCTATCTGTTACAAAGTTAGATTGAGAAGTGCAAGCTCTCTTTTCCGTCATATGGAGTCTAAATTCTAGGTTTTTTTTTTCTGGTAGACAATCTAGATACCAATGATTCATATTGATATTATCTATGTTTTGCTGGCAGAATCTCAACCACAAAAACATTGTGAAGTATCTCGGGTCTATCAAGACAAAGACTCATCTGCACATCATTCTTGAGTAATTACCTATGAGCCTCTTCTTCCGCCTATCTAGTGCTAATAGTAGAGTTTTTTTTTTTTTTTAAATCACATTCATGTTCTCATTTATTTAGTGGACGTTATATAGGTATGTGGAAAATGGTTCCCTAGCTAACATTATCAAGCCCAATAAATTTGGACCATTCCCTGAATCATTGGTAGCTGTTTACATCGCTCAGGTTTGTGTGAGATTTCTATAAAATTTTCTTGCTTAACTGTAATGAGCGTAATACTGTGTTTGTATTGAACTGTAAGCAGGTTTTGGAGGGTTTAGTCTATTTGCATGAACAAGGTGTAATTCATCGTGATATCAAGGGTGCAAATATCTTGACTACCAAAGAGGTAATTTTTAAATATTTTTGTTCCTTTCAGATTGACAACTAACTTGAGTTCTCATCAGTATCTAGGTTTTTAAGAGAACTCTTTCATTTGGAGTTTTATTTTGATGGTGATTATTCATCACCTATTTTGGTTGTTTATTACATCTCTTAGTTTCTTCTATCCGCCTTTTGTTGCAATAATTTTTAATTCTTGTTTGTTTGAGCATAATAGTTAAATTTTATTTCTGCTACTTAATAAAGGAATTTTCACCTGTTCTGTAAATGTATCTGTGAGCGTGCATAATTTTGTGTAACCATATTGGCGCATAACTGCCAGAGTTGGATCCTATCTTGAAATCAAAATCTAATTGACTACTGAGCTCATACCATGATGGGCATGTTATCTTACCTTCGTAGTCATCCAAATATTAAAGAAGTAAAGGAGAAGGAAGATTGTGGCCTGGAAGGAGTGTGGAAGAAATTGTTAAAGAAGGGTGATAGTAAGGCTTTGAGGCTTAAAGAAACATTGGCTCTTTCATTAAGAGATTCATGCATTGGCATCATCATTGTCATACATGCTTAAGGTATTCAAGTCTTATGTATAAATTAAAAATTCAATTACTCTTGAGATTAGATTAGACAAGCTATTCAAGCATGGGCTCGTGGACCCTAATTTGGCATAGGTAAATGAAGATTAAGCTTGGAAAATATTTGGCACCTGTAAGTTAATAAGTAGTTTGTTAACCATTGAGATTGAATATTTCTTTTATAGTAATTTAATTCAACGCTTGGTAGTCAATGCACATTGATCAAAAACCATTCTTTTTTGCTAACTAAGAGTATATGAGAATAATGTGTAATGTGTACTTATGTTGAATCAAACGATTTTTTCTTGAAGCATTTCATTTACAATCTTCTCACTTTTTGCATTTTGAAAACATGGGTAATAATATGGGTGAACATGCATAGGAGCAGTTCCAAGCAACATTTAGAATATGATTTTTTTGAGAAAACTATGGAGAATCCTTGTGGTTCTACGCAAGGTTCATTGTTTTGGGTACCAGACCCATCTCAATGATCTTTCAGACAGGTATGTACCGATCAGTGCCAGTGTATTGACACATGGTGCGCCAGTGCGTACCGACGTTTCAGTGAGGAAAAAAAGTGGGAGAAAAGGGGGGCGGTGGAGGAACTAAGGAGGAAGAAGGAAGAAGAGAAAGTAGTGGAGGAAGAAGGAAGAAGAAGAAGAAAGGAAAGGAGGAGAAGAAGCAGCGGTAGCATACCTAGGAAGTAGCGGCGACAGTGGCAACGTCGAAGCGATAACGACAGCGGTGAAGCAATAGTGGTGACGCAATGGTAGGGGCAACAATATCGTATGTGAGAAGAGGGCTCATGTTTGCTAGCCCCAAGGTCTGCCATACCGAAGCATATCACCCGTACCGGGCGGTACGTACCGGTCCGACAAGTTACCGGTACGCGGACCACCCGGTACCGCTACAGTACTATACTGTAGCACTGCTACAATATGAAAAAAATTTAAAATTGTTCGATACACTATGGATGTACCGCCCGGTACACCCTGATGTACCGCCCGGTACACCCTGATGTACCGCCCGGTACACCGGTACCGTACCGTATCGAGCCCAGGTCGAAACGCTAGTACGGTATGGTACGGCGAACCTTGGCTAGCCCTATCTTGTTTTTTTTTCTTTTTTTTACGTTGAGTTGGACAGGGTCCACCGTATATTTGATTTTTTATTATTTTAATTGATCCACTTGAAACGATGGTGGTCCGCGATTCAGCCCATGCCTAGACTAGTATGTACTTCCTATACCATACCGTTCGAGCAGTATAACGCCCTTGGTTCTATGTACACTTCGATGTACTAAAAAAGTCATTTGATCTCTGATCCTCTCGCTAGATCTTGTTTTTTTTCCTCCATCCTTAAATGCATTAAGATGTTGCAGACTTGTAGTTGTTTTTATATGCAATGGTTTAAAAAGCGCTAGGCGCCAAGGTCCCAAAATGCTTGAGGCGCTAGGCGCATTGCCTGAGCAAAGCAATGCGCTATGAAATATTAAAATATAAAAAGTATATAGTATAATTGATAAATATGATTATATAAATAAAAATATGACATTAAATTGATTGGAGAAAGCTTTAGTCAATTAATCTATTTCGAACGATAACAACGACGAAGAAATAGATTAATTAGCTGAAGCTCTCGTCTTTCTCTCTCTCTTCTCAATGTTCCCCCTTTTTTCCCTTTTAACTTAATGCATACTTGTGTCAATGCAACAATATTTATAAAATCCTTAAATAAGATCATAAGTGACGAATGAAATTAACTTTAAATATGATTGTTGTCTACAAGAAAGGGATAGACCAAGGGCAAAAAGAAGCTTATGTCATTTAGCCGAAACAATTTTGGCAAGTTATGATTAAACACCGTGTTAACAAACATGAAACTAAGATCCTACATATACAAACAGATTTCCAAAAAATAATAATAGGTGTAGGTGACCAGGAGAACTCTAGTCAATTAATCTATTTCGGACGACAACATTGGTGGAGAAAGCTTCGGACAACAGCAGCAACGATAAAGGAAGCTACGGATGATGACATCGTGGGCGAAGGAAGCTTCATATTTGTCTGTCGGTCCTCTCCCTTGATGGTGGAACAAGCTACTTACGGAAGAAGCTATGGCGGAGGGAACTGTGCACGAAAGATAGACCTTCGGATTCGTCCGTTAATATGGCAGAGGAAGCGTCGGTCCTGCGCGTCGGCAGTGGAGGCAACGATAGAGGAAGCGTCAACGATGGATTCAGTAGCTGCGCTAGGGTTTATGGCTTGAGGTCATGCGGGGGGCGGGTTTAGTAAGTATAGTAACATTATGTAGCGTTGTTGGTTCAATCGAACCAATTAGCTACTGTTCAATTGAACCAGACTCAATAGTCTAGTTCGGTTGCATTGTTTCAATTAGGCGCTTACTTGAGGTGCCTGGGTTTAGTCGAGTGCCCAGGCTACCACGAACGGTCGTCACGCACCCGCAACAACTTCGTTCAACGAATCGTTCGTCGCTTTTGCATGCTTGTACCAAGACACGACAGCATGTTTAACCTTAGTTTTGTGTGTTTTTTCTTGTAAAAATGCATATTCAAACAGGTTGCAACGCTGCAGTGTGATCGCTCACCGCGCCGGGCTGAACTGTCCAAAACAGCTCCGTTTTCGCGTGCCACGGCTTGTTTTCTGTAAACCGCAACTGCGTGCGAAACGCCAGCCATCTCAGCACCCTACAACCCCCCGGGTGGCACAGGGTTGGATGGGGCTTCGGTATATTGTCGGGCGTTGAAAAACTCTTCACAAGTTCGCACGTTAACTTGACGGGAACTTGCTTTCGCGCCCGACACCCGGTGAGCAGTTGTTTGTGGACTTGTAACTGTTCGTTCTACCTTCTAAAGTCCTTGTTTTCCTCCTTCCTCTCTTTTCTCCTGTGCACACAAGGTGCTTGCTGAATTGCTTGTAAAGCTTCCCTCTTTGCGAGACATCGGGACTTGTCCGTTGCTCGTTTTTAATCTAATCAACTTTCTGTTTTACAGGTCCTTCGGGACCTATACGAGGTTGCAACTAGGCCGACCCTTTGCGGGCGTGTATATCGCAAGGGCGCCTCATAACTTAGGCAATCCCAGCTAAGTCCGAGAAGTTGGCACAAGGGTGCTTCGCGACTTAGGCAACCCAAGCTATGTTCGCGTCTTGGCCGCAAGGGTGCCTCACGACTTAGGCAATTCCAGCTAAGTCCGTGACAAGGCGGCACTTCACTAAAGCACGTCACCTGGCGAATCTGTGAGGCGCTCGGGCCTCTCATTGCCTCACCTGAGCGCCGGGGCACCTATTTAAACTCCAGCTTATATGTATGTTCTTTTCTATCTAATAGTTATTTCTAAATGAGCATAAGCTGGATCTATAATGCTGCTGATGTTGCATGTGAGAGAATCTATGTTGATAATGCCCTTGGGCAAATTTAGCGATACACCTAATGCACAACACCTACAAGCATCTACTGGGTTTCATTTGCTTTGACAACACACAGCCACCTTTTGCTGTGACATCACCCCCAAGTAATTTTTTTGAGCACCCTCCCTTCTTTTGCAACGATGCCTTTGGCTGCTTAGTACACTAATACCTCACCTTATGTAGAACAAAATTTGTCACTGGGGACGATGATCAACATCGATGATCATCATGTGATTGATATTTCACCATTTTCTTGTTCGTGGTTGCAGAAGCTTCATGTCAGTGCCCATTACCGAAGCTATGTTCCCTCAACTCATGCAAAGTCTATTTACCCTTCTGGCAGATGTGCAAGTTGCAGAACATCACCTAGCTGCCATGTCATGCTTTACAGAGGGTGTGGTGACGAGAGTTCTTAAGTTCCCACTACAATAAAGTCAATAACTTGAGAGAAATCATCATGATGATGGATTTTTTTATGTCTCTGAACCGCAGTTGACAACTTAAGCACTTATTCCTCTTTCTTGTCCATCTCTAAAGTGATTTGTGGAAGTGACAACAATTCCCATATTACTTCGCAGACATCTCAACTGCATGCTGTAAATTCAACCTGCTGTCACTGCATAGCTGGCCTTGGACTAGCAACGATCTGACCTCTTCTGCATTCCACCAGTAGTTGTTCAACAGCTGAAAACAATACCATTAAATAGGCCAAAGAGAGAAGCATCAAAACCACAAGTTTTACAGAAAATCAGAGCTTGATTCTTTTGTTTGATCTGTGATTTCAGCTCCAGTGAGTGGGAGAATCAAATCCAGCAAACAGAATCTTTTGTGTCACATTTTTAGATGTCTAGAAGATCACTTTTATGGAGACCAATCAAATTCTCTTCAGTAGGGTTCAAATCCTAAAGATTTACATGACTAAGTTTAAATCAATTTCATAGGATCAATCAATTTCGTTTTAGTAGGGTTCAAATCCTCAACATTGAAATGACAAAATTTATCTTAAATTTCATAGCCTTTCTCAGCACGTGAAGATGAAAATTAGTTTCAGGAAGTGACCCTGTAGCATGGTCTCAACCCTTCACCATAGGACAAAGTTGATTTTTTGGGGGCCAGGAATTATTAAAGCATTTGAACCCTAATCCATCACTCATTAGGGTCCCACCTTGATTTGTCCTAGCCCCTAGATAAAGAACTGTCAATCATTTTTTGTACTGTTTTTTTGGATATATTTCAGTTTTTATTTTTAGTTGCCATTTTATTATTAGTAAATTATCTCATTTCTCTCTTTTCATTGTTGGGTTGTCAATTCTTCTGCTACAATTGGATGATACTTTGCTAGGAGGATGTTATCCCATCATCAAATAAGTCTTTTGATCTTTTCAATGATGATATTTTACCTATTTTTTTGACCATGCTTCCCTTTGTACTACAGTTATTTACTGCAATACTTGTGGCTATACATAAACTTCACACCTGTCTTTATGCATCTGTCAGCACATGCATCATGAACATGTATACTTGTAGAAGCTGATGGAGGTTCTTGTGCTCCTTGTTGATGTATTTTGTCGAAAGAATGATTTAACAATTAATTTTGATTTATTCTTGCCAAAGATTTATTTCCTTAGGATTATGCTATGAAATAAAATTTTCAAAATTAGGCACTCTCAAGATGGCTGATGGATACTTTCTGGCATATTTTGCTTCAACTTGATGCATGCTCTCAGTTTTAGTGTTCTTTTCATTGTTTTGATGTGTGTGGGAATTATCTATAGGGTCTTGTTAAACTTGCTGACTTTGGAGTTGCAACAAAGCTCACTGAGGCAGATGTTAATACACATTCGGTGGTTGGAACACCATACTGGATGGCCCCTGAGGTAACCTATTATACAATGTTACTGGGATTTTGTGTAATTACCCAGGGTATTTAATATTGCCCAGGGATTTTCTTTATCATAGATTATTTTGTTAACGTTACAATGAAAGTTCTGAAGACAAGGTAAGTGGACATACAGTCAGATGGCAGATAGAAGCACACTATAGCATTTTTATGATTATACTTGTCCAAGACAGTAAATCAACATTAACCTTTGTAATACTCTCTAACTTTGACATGTTTTTAGACTGACAGTGAATTCTACTTATATAAACCAAAACTAGAATGCTAATTGAAGAAAACCAAAATTGCTGAAAAAAATGGTATGGTTCTTTCTCTCATGGTTTGCCATGCTCTTCTCACCCATTTTCACTGTTCTTCAGTCAAGCAAATACATAGTCAAGAATGCTCCATGGAGTTCTTGCACTACTTTTAAATAATGGCTGCCTATTCAATTTCAAACATCTCTCTAATAATGGGTACCAAGTGGTTGTCCAAGAGAAATATTGACAATAGTGGGTTCTCCATGCAACCTATTACATTTGCTAGGAGTGTTACCTTATGTGCTTAATGAACAAAGGCAACTTATTTTCTTTAATACGACAAATCAAAGTCTTCATCATTAATGGTCAGAGCTTACAGTATAGGTGGAATGCAAAGTATGGGAATAGAAGGATAACACGGAACGGTAATTAACTGACAGGAGGATAAGGAGGGAGAATATAGCGGGTAAAGTAATTGTGGTAGTGGTCAGTGAATGCTGGTATGCAAATGGTAACCAAAGAGTAAGCATGCAAAGGCAAGACGAGGTAAGTGGGGAAACTTCACGATTTTTCACCATTATGAAGTCATGTTGTAATCTTGTCTATCCACCAAGGACTTCAGAACCATATAAAAACTGAAGATACACCTGCAACATAGTCTGCACATGTTGGCCTTCCCCAGATCTTGTATCAGAGGGAGCCTTATGCATTGAGGCACCCTTTTTTTATCCATTTCATAGTCTGGATCTAGGTTTTAAATTGCCCAACCTCTACAGGAAGGTTTTCAAGTCCTCTTCTAAACTTTCTGCATCAGCCTGACCACATGTGGTCAGAATCTGGCTTTATAACTCAGCTCAGCTTTTCCCAGCCTGGTGATTGCTTCAGTCTATTACCAGTTCTTTTCTTAACAGCTAGTCTTGTACCATAATTTGTAATGTTTAGGTATACTTCTATTCCCATAAGATGTGTGTATGCATTTTATAAAATGGGTGTCTTTACATGTGTGCATATTTCTCTAATGTGGATTTGTATACATATCTTGCATTGTTTTCTCATTTTAGTTGCCATACTATTCACATCAATTTTCTATTGGAAAACACCAAAAGATAGAAAATCTAAACCTTACATTTTTCAATAAAATCTAAACCTGACTATCCTTCTTAGTTTTATTACAAATTCATGCCAAAAAGCAAGTCTTTGTGCTAACATAAAAGGAAAGAAATAAATACTAAATAACCTGAGAAGTAAAAAATAAAAAGGGATGATCCGTTCTGCATCTCCTTCCCCCAAGTCCTTTTTTCAATAAAATTGCAGTGTATTTGATTGTGTTTTCTCAATGCAATTTCTTGTAAGCTACTTTGTACTTTGTTAAATTCATCTCATTTGACTTTGATTGCAAATTTTTTGAAAGGATGACAAAACTATACTTGTTTCAGGTTATTGAAATGTCTGGCGTTTGTGCTGCATCTGACATCTGGAGTGTTGGTTGCACTGTCATTGAATTGCTCACATGTGTTCCACCATATTATGATCTGCAACCAATGCCTGCACTTTTTCGGATTGTTCAGGTATGACTAGCTAGCATTCAATCCTTTTGTTATTCATTATTTCTTGATATATTTGATGGACCATATGAGTGGCTTGTGGCCCTCCACATGCTTATTTATTGTCATCCCTCCAGTTGCTACATTCTTATTCGTTTTACTGATACAAGAGTTCTTAGTCCTACCATGGTTGATGAGTTTTGACTAAAACTTAGGTTTTGAGCCATGTACTGGCGTGGCAAAGGTAATATCCCTGTTTTAAGAGTGTGCCACTGGTGATCAATGTTAGAAAAATATTACACAGTTGAAGAATCGAGAACTTAGACAGCTGTGTTGAGAAGCATTTGGGCAGAATCTCTGAAGGTCACACATTTCAGGGGAAACAAGGAAAGAAAAATCAGAACACCACTAAGAAACTCTTAAGTAACTTTATATTTAATAGAACATGTTGGTCTGAAACCTAACTGACTAATGAAATGGTTCATGTCGATTAAACATAAATGTACTCGGTATTGTTTCCACTCCCTTCCTTTCTGTATATTTATAGCCTCCCCTGTTGGGCATAACTAGTACTTCAAGTCATATTCTGATGTCATGCTGCCTAGCTGGAACTTTCTTTCAACTTAAGACATAATTATTTAGCAACGTCAAGTTCATTGATTTGTCTGAAATTATTTTCATATCGACTTTTATCGTTTTATATTATTAATATTAAATTCAAGTAGACTAGTAGTTGCTTATAGCAAAACCTTCCAACAACTAGCAAATATAGGTGATTGGTCATCAACCCAACAATGACTGTCAGACCTGTTGGCAACAATGACTAATAGTTTCTTATGAAGATTTTGTTAATATTAAAAAACATTGTGATATCTAGTAAATGCTTAATATTTATATAATGTGCACATATGCTGACAAGTGACAACTGTTGTGAAATCTGGAAATACATTTTGATGTTATTTTAGAATGAGAACGTCCAATCAGAACCTGCAGATGGTAGTTATTATTTGATGGGCTTAGTTGGAATGGGCTTTCTGAATATTATCTATCATTTAAGAATAAGACAATAAATGAATAAAATGTGTTGAGTGCTTTTAGAAAACTATTCTTCTAGTTTTCAGTGTCTTCTGACCTTGCCTCAAAATAACGCTTTTAACCAAATGATGAAGGCTTCAGCCACGGGCTGCCTTAATATGTTCATAGGAGGTCACCATTTAATTCTGTGGCCCCACTTTTTGCTAGTTTTGTGTCCAATCTGTCAAATCCATTTGCATTTTGGTACTTAAACAAGGTTTTGACAATCGTATGCTGTTTGTACAATCCTTAAACTGGTTAATGAATGACTCGCCGTACTTTATTTTCATATGGCTTTAAACAGGTTGGCTAATGTTGTATGCTAGCAAAATTTTGTTGTTAATACGAAATATTCAATTATTTCTTGGTTGTTCGAAGGCATAAAATATCGCTGATATCTAGGACCAAATTGCCATCATGCACCTACTTTTGCTTATGACCAGTGCATGCATTTTTAGCAATTCATCAGACAATTAAATATTTTCTATGCATTGTAGCAAAATTTATTTGCAGATATTTATTTATGGATATGGGAATGATCCATAGGATAACATATGGGTTAAGTATGCTTAGCTGCTTTTATGTATAGCATAATGATACTCAGATAAAGTCATAAAACATAAGGAAGTGGCAGCACTAAATTGTTAGCAGACATGATCTTTGATGCTTGTGCACTTACACGTCACAAGCCAAAAGCTTCAAGCTTGTAGAATGAAAATCAGAAACCCATCAAGGATTTGAAGAGTTATGCATTATTTCTTGTTATATATAACGTTCACGTTAAAGGTGCTTCATAATGGTAATCCCAAGTGAGTAAATTGTGGTACTAACAAATGCCTGCACGTACTGATCAAATTTGTTGTCATACTGGAATTGTGATGCATAGAATATAATAACGATGCATCTATTGGGATAAGAATAATTAAAGTTTTGTGCTGTAGCTGATTATTTAGATATAGATATGTATGTGTCCTCAAGGAAATGGATGGCCTATAAGGTTTCCCTATAGCCTTTTAAATGTACTTTCCTTTTCTGTTCTCTTTATCCTTAATATTTCAGGCTCAGATAAGCTGTTACAGGTGGATAGGCATCAGCAGAGCTTATATACCTAGCTACAAATGTGTACTTGCATGTTTTGCAGATATCCTCTAGACACTATGCCATATGGTTGACATAGCACTTGGGCATATTGTTCCTTATTCCATTTTGGCATGTATCATTACTTGTCTATTATGTTGTTCTTTGGAAAAAAATGTTATGATGCATATATATGTATGATTTAATATAATTTTCAGGACGTGCAACCTCCCATACCTGAGGGCCTCTCACCTGACATTACTGATTTTCTCCGTCAATGTTTCAAAAAGGTAGATAAAATTGTTGCATTAAGGAAACTATACCCCATTTCAGTATTGCTTCTTACTTAAAAGACCATTTTCAGGATGCAATGCAGAGACCAGATGCAAAAACATTGCTATTGCATCCATGGATCCAAAACTCAAGGCGAACTTTGCATTCATCTTTGCGACAAACAGGTGGAAGTATAAGGTAATAATGCAATCTAGCAGTTTTATTGTAAATTTTCCCATTAAGGTGATCTGAGAACTTAAAACTTCTAATAAGTAATTAGTTTCTTAGTTCCTTACCACATGTTTTAGTTTTCTTGTTTGTTTAAATGAGAAGCTTTGTTATTGGTAAGTGGGTTGGCTTTTGAATTAAATGAGCACTACGTGACTTGCTAATTGTTTCTGTTTTTATCCAGTTCTCTTTGAGATTCCCATTGATAGTATGTTCAAGACTGGTAAGAGGTCAAAATTCATGGGCTATACTCCTGAATGGAGTTTATTAATTAGGTCAATTTCCATTTATGTAAATTTGGATGGCCTAATTGGAAATAAACCAACAGAGCTGATTAATACTAACTCTATTGTTACAATTGTTGAGCACACGATTCTATACGGAATATAGAAGCTTCTGCAGTGAGTATCGAGTTTTGTTAAAATCCATCTGGTTTGGCTGGAATGTGTTGGACTCAATCTGTTTTGTTGTCTCCAACAGTTCCAGTGGTTTCTACTTTATATCACCGAAACTAATTAATTTAGCATTAATATGCAATTTTAAGCTTTGCAGTTGACATTCTTTAGTTAATTTGCTTTTGATGAAGGATTGTCTAGGAAGCAATTTTTACTAGTTTAAAGTATATGTACTGCCAAATTTAGTTATATGCCATAATCTTAGATGTGGTCCAACTTTTGAAGGTTTTTCTAGTTCAACAATATCTTAGACATAATATTGAAAACAAGGGGTATTTGTTTTTCATCTCCCTACTTATTTTTAACATTTATTTGTACAAATTGTCAATTTTTGACTTTACAACATTTAGCCCCTGTGACGTTTACACCCTAGTAACCAATTTTCACCTATAGGATTCTTAAACATACACCCACGTCAGTATGGCGTGCACCCGCTTTTCAGTGTGCATACAGTGCACTCATTTACCAATGGACATTGGTGAACTTTCACCATAAAATTAGGGGATCAAAATTTTTTTTAACAAAAGACCTCACCTATTTTTCAAAACATTCTTTGTTTTTTTGTAAAGTTTTAAATTTCTTTACTAATTTATAATTTTTATTTTCAAGTATTTGGCTGAAAGTTCAAGATTTTATTTGACTCTGTCAAAACTATTTAATTGCTGAGACTGGAAGTCCAAGAATTGGACTAATGTATTTGATCATCCAACATTGACAAAACTTTGCAAATATGCAAAGGTTGCTGGATTTCTGCTTTCTGGATGCATTCTTTAATATTAGACTATATAACTGAGTTAACCTACTATATCACATTATAACTGCAATAACAAGTGACCTTTGATCCTCTGGAAACTCACTTACAAATTTGTCCAGTTACTTGTACAAATTTCAGGAACATTGAGGAGGATACCAAATTGAGTGATGGCAACTCAAATGCGGATAATCATAATGGCAGTGAAAGCCCATCAGCAGAGAAGACTAAGATTGCTATATCTGATCTTGAACACGTATGTACTTTTTCCAATTTTTTGATTTTTTAATTCATATGTATTGTCAAGGGATTAAAGCCAAAGAATTGATCTAATTTCAAGGTCTTCTCAGTTTGCAGTTATACCTTTTAAGGAGATAATTTAAATTGAGTTATGACTTCTAAGTGTTCTAACAATATAAAAAAATGATATAATTTGTTCTTTATGATCCAGGAAGAATCTAAGAAAGAGCACTTTGCTACTGATGCAATTCATACTAAAGGTTCTGATGGGGATCAAAATTCTAGTCTTGTTCAGAATGCCTGCTGGAACGGTGTTGAAGATAGAGCAGAAGATGTGGTTTCTGCTAAAGATCCTACCTTAGTTATCTATGAAAAGCCATCTTTGAAGTCTCCTGCTAAAGAAGCAAACTTAGGTAGTCCAGTAGCACCAGAAGGCAAAGGAGGTACAAGTCCTGATGAATCTAGCATGTTTTCCTTTGGATCTAAAGTTGGGAGAAACAATTTTCAGAAGGTGAGATGTTACTTTCTTTACTGTTATTTTGTTATCTCTTCTGTAAACCTCTCTGATATTGTTAAATGGCTTTTGTTTTATAGTGTTACAAATCTTTGAAGCTATCTTTTCCCTTGAGGTTTCATTTGTGTATTATTTCTATTGATTGGCATCTTTTGCATGCTCATCTTTGGTCTAAGTTGAGGATCACTTTTTTGGGTAAGTACGGTGACCTGGTTGGTACTGACACATGGTACCTGTGACTTGAAGAGGAAGTAGGAGAAGAGGAAGGGGAAGAGGAGCAAGAAGGTGGAGGGAAGAAGAGGAGGCACTGTAGGAAGCGAAAGGAAGGAGGTAGAGGAAGGTGAGGAGGTGGTAGAAGAAGAGGAGGAAGCATGCTTGTCGGTGGCACACGACAAGTGGCGAGTGTTTATGGGCAACAACAGAAGCAAAACAACACATGGAGGGATTCTGTTTGGGCGAAGAGAGCTCACGAACATAAGCCCTAAAAGTTTTAATTAAATTTTTTTTTAATTAAGTCGGAGCGGACTGTTGGGTGGGGGCAGTCTACTTACTGCTTCACATATGCACTACCGATTTCATACCAGTCCAGATGAAACAACTAAACTTGGTCAAAATAGTGTTGCATATTAAAGAAGGTTAGATTACATAGTCAAGTTGCAGACACAACATTGTCGCATCTTTGCTATTTTTGTTTTGATTTATCTTTTATTAATCTTTCATTTGACCCAATGAATTTCAGGATGACCTATTTTGGGCATTATAAATTTTCACAAGTTTGTGTTATTATTTTATAAATGTAATCAAATATTTTGTTGCTAACCTAGTTCATTTGTCCATTAACCTATTTCAAAGGTTGTGAAGCAGTCAATTACTCATGGAGCTAATGAGCTTAGTAGGTTTAGTGACACACCAAAAGATGCTTCTTTGGATGATTTATTTCAGCCACTAGATAGACAAAAAGATCAAGGTGCTGAAGCTTCATCATCAGCAACTGGTCAGCAAAATGACCTGGCAAAAAAGCTCAAAGCTAGAATGGCTCAGAAGCAAATGGAACCAGCACAGAACAGCGGTGGGAAGCTTTTACAACTTGTTATGAATTTGCAAGAAGATGGGATTGATTTTGATGGTTCGGTACGTTTTCTGTGTATATGCACTCATTATTAGCAAGTCTTATGGACATTCATAATTTGATTTCTGAAAAAGATACTCTTTTTTCTTACAAGGAAGCATTTGTTTACTAGCTGTCGTGTTATATTTTTCTCAGGTCTTCGGTGATAATCTGCCAGCAGATAACACTTTTCCCATTCAGGTGCTCATTCTGTTTCTAGAGTCAAACCTTCTAGTTCACGAAGATGGTTTAGTTATAGGTTCCAGGCACTTAACAGTTATTGCACATTTGCACCTTTAAAGTTTTTTATTAGATAAAAAAAAGAATGACATAACTTACAAGCACCTCTTTTGTGGCTTTCAAATTTCTCTGAAGTCTTTGAGATTGCTTGTGATGCCATTTTTCTTTACCACCTTTTTTATTTACTTTGATCTCTCGGTCTTGTTGATTTTTGTGTTGTTTCTTTTATTTTCTTAAATTAAGCAAAGACATAATTTTCTTGATTTGCCATATGAGTTACAGTTGTCTTTTGCACCCTCTATTGTAAGAAATAGAATTTTATGGTAGAAAAGTTATATTCTATGGAAGCATTTTTAGTGATCAGAAATTTCAACAAAAAGGATCAGAAGTTCAGCATATACTAGTTATGAGCTTTTCTTGATATGATTTCTATGCTCTCATTGTTGAAAATGCATGGTTTGTTGATAACATGTCAACAACAAGTTGAATCTAGCATGCCAATGAGGTGTCGGCATGCATTGTGGTGATCCATGCTGTAGGTGCTGACATATAGTATGGAATCATGTTATGCCAAAAAGATATTGGCATACCTCCATGCCATGATGTGGTAATGTTTCGTGTTTTGAAGTTGGTTTGCACGTAGAAGGTCAATTTAGGTAGCATGCATGTCATGGAAAATACTTTACCATCAACTTAAAGAAGTATGAACTTGTAGCATCGTTTTTTTCTCAAAATCAAACAAAATATGTTGGACATATAAAAACACATCTAGTTTTACCCCTTCACTTGTTGATTCTGCTTAGGAAATTTATGATTATTAGACGGAAATTAGCTTTCATTAATCAGCAGTTAGTACATGCTACAAGCTATTAAGCTTTACTACTCCATTATCTTTGGACTGAATACTTTTCTTTGATTGCATAACTTTTATCCCAGTGTAAATGAAGTATATATTCCTTTATTATCTAAATTATATATCTTTTTATTATCCTTGGTGATTATTTTGTTTCTCTTCTATGTAGTCTGTCGAATTTAGCAAAATAGTTGGTTTGCTAAAGCCTGAAGCATCTGAAGATGTGCTATTGTCAGCCTGTCAGAAGCTTATGGTGTTTTTCACTCAGCGCGCTGAGCAGAAACATGTTTACATGTCTCAGCATGGTTTCCTTCCACTCATGGAACTTCTTGAAGTCCCTAAAAACCGTGTACGTTTGCTCGCACATCTACTTCGTTAGACTTTTGTACTTCACCGTGTAACTTTTGTGTGCTACATGATAGAAATTCATAAAGCATCATTAGAATGACTTAGTCCATTTACATTCTTGGTAAGAACTGATCTTTGTGGCCTCCACAGGTTATATGTTCAGTACTTCAAGTTATCAATCATATAATCAAAGATAATATTGGTTTTCAAGAAAATGCCTGTCTTGTTGGCCTGGTAAGATCACTTCTTCCTGAGATTATATATTGAAGATTCTTTTTATTGTGGATATGTTTAAATGCCAGTTATGGAGTTGATCTCTTATTTGGTATATGCAGATTCCAGTTGTAATGAACTATGCTGTGCCTGATCGTCCTAGGGAAATCCGTATGCAGGCGGCTTTTTTTCTTGAGCAGCTTTGTCAATCCAGGTTTAGGATGTCACTTCCATATATCGTTTACCTTTACAATTTACCTTCTGCTATTTCCAACTGATGGTATCATGTTCTTTTAGCACTTTGACATTGCAAATGTTCATTGCATGCCGAGGAATTCCTGTTCTGGTGGGCTTTCTTGAGGCTGACTATGCAAAGTACAGGTTGTTACCATCCTTTATCTGATGCATTTTCTGAGTATGGTTGTATGACCTCTGCTAATTTTCTCTCTGTTATCAGACAAATGGTTCATCTTGCCATAGATGGCATCTGGCAGGTTTTTAAGCTTCAACAGTTGACCCCAAGGAATGACTTCTGTCGCATTGCTGCAAAGAACGGCATACTTCTTAGGCTTGTTAACACACTTTACAGCTTGAATGAGGCAACTCGGCTAGCCTCCATTGGTAGTGGGGGTGTATCTCTTCCACCGAATGGTTCTGCTCCAAGACCAAGATCTGGTCCATTAGAACCCCCTAATCGTCCTTCTGTTGTGCAGTTTGATTCAGCAGTCTCCAACTTGGGTCAAATTGATGCTTCCAAGGTTAGGCTTGAACATCCTTTTCAATCTGGAGCTATAGAACAAGTGCAGAATCCAGCTTCTTATTCTCAGAGGACAGATGCTACCCAGTTGGACAAGCAATTATTTGGAGGAGATAAGAATCATCCAAGTCATGCTATGTTGGAAGCTTCAAAGGAGAATGAACATTTTAGTTTGTGGGATCATGAACCTTCTCGTGTGGATATTGACTTACCTAGGCATCAAAGGGGTACAAATTCTGCTGGTAGAAGTTCTACTGATAAGCCTCCAAAGCATATGGAATTTGCATCAAATGGCCACTCTGGTGGTGCAAGCCAATTAATATCTCAACATGATCAAATTCGTCCACTTTTGAGCTTGCTGGAGAAGGAACCACCTTCTCGTCATGTCTCAGGACAACTTGATTATGTTCATCATCTTTCTGGATTGGAAAGACATGAAAGCATATTGCCACTGTTACATGCTTCAACTGAAAGGAGGACAAATGGTGAACTTGATTTTCTGATGGCAGAATTTGCAGGTATTGTTCTAGTTCTTTCTTAAAGTGCATACATTTAACACTTAATTTGATTTTTTTATTTAAAAGGGTATGAGTCTAAAGATAGTTATGGAGATATTCTTAGATCTTTCTATCTGGGCTGTTAAGTGTCAATGATATATCTGTTTATTCTTGTACGTTATCTTCATATGAAATTTGAAATGCAGATTGGGCTTAATTAACTGTTTAAGAATAATTTATGTATTAAGAACTAGATTTGCTCCATAAAGTCTGGTGGCAAGCTGATGGATCTTTTTTTAAACTTGATTATAGCACAGAGTCACAGACAAATTTTATTTCTCCTGAGAAAATATGAATGCAGTATGCTTAAACTCTAAATTCTGGTATAACTGGTATGGGTTATTTTGTTAACCTGTCTTTGCCTTCCAGTTCATATGGTTCTCATCATGATCCCATTTAAGAAGGATGCAAACCATAACCGAACACATCTGCATTTGGATCATTCATCACTAGCTAACATCTCTAAACTTTATATACTGATTTGTGAAATGTTTATATCTAGCTTTGGGTATAAAGATTTTGATGTTCCAAGATAGTGTAAATTGTATAAAGAGTTATTATGTATATGTTTATATTGTTGGGTTTATTTGTGAAAGTAGCCTGGAAATTGGGACTCCAACATTTGGCAAATGTTAGCCATTTTCTGTTCATAAAATTATTTCTATAATTTATTAGTAAAAATTTCTACGATTAGTAGCACTTTTGTAACACCCCGATTTAGTCCCACATCAGAAGTAGTCTGACAGTAGCTTGGACTCAAATATTTTGAATTATTGGTTTAGCTTCAATGAAGTTAATAAGCAAATTATTTAATCAGGTCGGGTTGTGATAACTGGTATTAGAATTTACATTATTGGGGCACAGTGAGAGATTTAGTAAAAGACTACCTGTGGACAGAATTGGAGAGCATATCACGATGTGGAGCTATGCACTATACTAAGGCATGATTTTCGACTATGTTAGGTTTTGATGAGGACATCAAGCCCTTAAGTGAGATAGATTTTAACACCCCCGACGTAGGACTTTAGTGGAGTGGGCGAAGACTTAGATTAGCTTATAAGGGTCTGATAGATGGACTATTGCTAACATAGGCTTAAGTATTTTGAGTTAGGGATTCGGGATCCAGGCTCAACCAAGTTAATAAACCAATTATGTTATCAGGCCCGGTCGTGACAACTTTAGTCTTGAAACTCCAGTTGGTGCTTCCTATGTATACTGAACTGTGATTTATATTCTTCTGGACCTTATTTCACTTGATAAATATGTAGTCTCTTCATTTTTATGATATTATATTTATTTTGCAGAGGTCTCTAGACATGGACGAGAAATTGGTATTACAGACCCTAATATGAAGCTTTCAAATAAAACAACAAAGAAGGTTTTACCCACAATGGGGTCATCTAGTTCTAATGAAGGAGTTTCTACATCTGGATTAGCATCACAGGCAACATCTGGTGTGTTATCTGGATCTGGCGTGTTAAATGCTAGACCTGGTAGCACTACTTCGTCTGGATTGCTGTCGCAGATGGTGTCTTCATCTAATGCTGATGTTGCAAGGGAATATCTTGAGAAGGTAGCAGATCTTCTGTTAGAGTTTGCACAAGCTGACACTATAGTGAAGTCTTACATGTGTAGCCCAAGCTTGCTTTCTCGCCTTCTCCAGATGTTCAATAAAATGGAACCTCCTATTCTTCTGAAGGTCACATTGAACTTCAATGAGAGTTAATAGCTCCTACTTGTTTAGGTTACTAATTCAATTTTCTGACAGGATTTATCTATCTTAAAATGTAGATCTTAAAATGTATCAACCATTTGTCAACGGATCCAAATTGTTTGGAAAGTCTTCAGCGCGCTGATGCAATCAAGTATCTGATTCCAAATCTCGAACTCCGCGAAGGACCTCTTATTTCTCAAATACATAACGAAGTAAGTAATTTATTGCAAGTTTGCTAACCACATACAAATTTAACTGTTTTTCCTTCTTTATTTTTAGCTTCTGTGAAATTGTTTTGCATTTAGAATCCATCAAAACCAGACACTCTTATGCTTGTTTCTTGAGTTCATGATTGTAATCAAGGCTTGTAACTTTCCTTCAAACTTCTGCAAGCATTGACAACATATGCTATAGAAGAGTCAAGTGCAGCATCAGATCTTCATATATGCAAGTACATTGTTTACTTTCTTTGTCACATGATATTGACCTAGGGTCTGATTTGATGTGGCATGTTTTCTTAATCCTGCATTAAAAATGATTATTTGATCTAAATCTCCATTGTGAACAAGGATTAGATCATCCTTGCAACCTTATCTCTGAATAACTTGTGTTTTGTATATACTCCTCATGAGGCTGCAAGCACTTGGACTTTGAAAATTGAGATTTCTTCCATTTATTCTGGTAGTTATCCTTTTTTTCTCTTGATCTTTTGTGTCCCAATGCACAATCCATTGGTCATTTACTATATGGGTTTGAATGGGGGAAAGTTTTTTAAGGTTCTTAAAGTGGAACTTCTGATTCTCTTTTGGTGCAAAATGTGGCTATTTTAACTTTGTATTTTGTTACTCGAAGGTCCTCAATGCACTCTTCAACCTCTGCAAGATAAACAAGAGGAGACAAGAACAGGCTGCAGAAAATGGAATCATTCCACACTTGATGAATTTTATTATGTCAGATTCGCCACTCAAGCAATGTGCATTGCCTCTGCTGTGTGATATGGCCCATGCATCTCGAAACTCAAGAGAGCAATTGAGGGCTCATGGAGGATTGGATGTGTACTTGAACCTATTGGAGGACGAAGCTTGGTCTGGCACAGCATTGGATTCAATTGCTGTCTGCTTGGCACATGATAATGACCAGAGAAAAGTAGAACAAGCATTGCTGAAGAAGGAAGCGATTCAGAAATTGGTGAAGTTCTTCCAGAACTGTCCAGAACAATATTTTGTACACATACTGGAGCCTTTCTGGAAGATAATTACGTAAGAAACATAAAGATTATTTTCATTCTTGATCTTTGATCTAATCTCCCTAAACTCAGAACTTTCTTACCATTTTCCTGATTGTTGTCTTTTGATTCACAAATGAAAATGCAGGAAATCATCCAGAATAAATACAGCTATGGCCATCAATGGTTTGACGACATTGCTAGTAGCCAGACTTGATCATCAAGACGCTATTGCTCGTCTTAATCTGCTAAAACTGATAAAGGTAATCTTTGTTAGCTTGGCCAGAAAAGTGTTTGTAACTATTTGGGTGAGTTTTGGATAAAACAGCAGAGCCAGCAAGAGAGAAGCTAGAATTGTATAAGAAAAACAGGAAAAGCCATTATTTGAGTGGAAAACTAAAATTTAGTAGGAACTAGCCAAATGATGGCTCCCTGAACAGATAATTAAGAGGCTTCAATTAGATATTTGTCTTGGTTTGCTCCTTATCACAGTATTCATTGGTCCTATCTTATTTGCTACCTCAGGCTGTGTACGAACATCACCCTAGACCAAAGCAACTCATAGTAGAGAATGACCTACCTCAAAAGCTCCAGAATCTGATTGAAGAACGGAGAGATGGGCAGCGTTCTGGTGGTCAAGTTTTAGTCAAGCAAATGGCCACTGCATTGTTAAAAGCACTCCATATCAACACAGTCTTGTGAATCTGGTTCCACCCATCTTAAAAGGGAACCAATTGGATCTCTGAAAGAAATGTATTATATTTTTTTTGTTCCTTTTTTTTTTCCTGTGTCCTGTAGGAGCATCTTTCAAGAGTTTGTCTGTGCTTTCCTTTCTCGAAAATGATGATGAGCACCTTTTTGTATATCAATCATGTATGTAAGTTGCTTTTTTATTCATATGATGTCCCCCTTAGTTAGGGTCACCCTTGAGCAGAACAAAGTATCATGCAAGCGTCTGTATCATATGCTAATGATGCTGCTCAGCCAGTTTTGCAGGTCACAGATTGTGATCTTAAGCATCTCATTATTCTTCCACAAGTATTTCATCTGCCTGACATCAGACCTACTTCCAAAAGTCACTAAAGCTTTCAATGCCCCTGCAGTGTTGCAAGCTTGGTATGACCTTCATCGGGGAGGATGTCTAATGACTGCCAAAAGTAAGTCCTTCAGCTTCTGTTTCCTATTATGGAGAAGAACATGCATGCTTAAGGCACTTCTTTGAGCAATTACAGAGTGAATGCTCTACATTAGTAATTCATTTCTCATTTACATCTGTTATCTGCGTGCATTCTAATGGTGTTTTCAAGTATCCCCTCACTAAGAATTTGCCCATCTTCGTCAAATTTTCTGTCACTGTAGGAGCAAGATCCTAGATTTGCTTATATCATATATGGTGCTGTGAGCTTATATGTGAAATTTATAGGCCTACTTTCGAGCATTATAAACTCCGGGTGTGCCAACACAAATAACAACAATTGACTGGTTTATCGTGTGACGTCCTTATGGCGATGTTAGGATGGTACTATGGATTTCTTTATTGTGGAGTAGAGTAGGATGTGTAAGTTCAAAGATCAGATCTCTCTCTCTCTCTCGTTGCTAGTACATCGTAGAACTGGTGATCTTCCATTGCATATAATCGCATGAATTATGCATCACCAGTAAGCGTTTTAGATGCTGTATATACAGCATCTAGAACATGTCGTACGACATAAGGACTTACTTTTGGCAGACCCTTGATAGATGTATTCTGTGCAGGTTTCTATGTGACCGGGAGAATCATATGACAATCCATTGATATGAATCTTTGCTTCGGTAATTACACATTCTTGTTTCCTGACCCCTTAATTTGATTTCATATGCCGCTCTTTGTAGCAATGGCGAAGTCCTCATTTGGAGAAGATCTGCCTTTGAGCTGCAAACCTCTGATCATACTTTTAGAAGAGGTGAGTGCTGCAATCGCAAACAAGTCACTATTCAGTAGCTCATACATCCATATGGTTTACGTATGTATACCTGCTTGCCAAACATGACTTGAAGAATTGTTTGAATAATAGTGTCCCAGATGTGTGCACACACAACAATTTGTTACAGTCAGCATTTGGTTTTGCCCTTGAGAGCACCAAATAGTAGTTTTCAAGTCATCCCGGAAAATAAAATAGCACATGAGCATACAATCAGCTCTGAATTGTTCATTTAGCCAGAGTTTAATTTCTGGTCACAAGTCATTCCAGTGGTGTCACAAGGATGCTCGGCTCTGGAAGAATTTATTGAGTGCATGCAGCTGAACCTTCTCATAAGAATAAGAATCAAGCTTCTCTGTGATTTGTAGAAGACAAGAAACCATGGAGTACTTTTACATCCTGAAGAATCACTAATGACTCCTCCCAGGCCCTGCCGATGATAACCTGCAGCAGTTGATGGGATCAACTATGTTACCATCTTATCATCAATCACATAATTCTTTCAAATGTGGTTTTCCACATCCCAAGAACATTCTAATCAAATTCCCTTTATTAAGGGAATTAGGGGCCCTATAGGAGAACTGAAATTTTGGTTTAGTTCTAAAATGCTCCAACTAGACCTGAGGGCGGGGCACTGAAAGATTAGATCCATTTCCACATGGGATATTCAAGTGTATGGCCAATGTAAGGAACTGACTTGAAGGAAGTAATCCAAGTTCTTGTAGATTGTACCAGATGCTTATGTCTATTTAAACTGGTAAACAGTTTCCATCACTACACAAAACAAAATTCCAACTATTTAAATTATCATGCAAATTATACAATAGAAACTAGACTTGTGATTACCTTAATAAACATGTGTCGTCATGTCAGGTAAATACTATCCAAAACCGCAAATCCAGCTGCCACCCCACCTTCATTTGATGATGAAACCTTTGTCCGCATCAGATAGCCACATTGATCGTTCATGATCACTTTATCTTTGTTCCTGTCATTTGGGAATGATTCCATGTTACTCAGCATTCAAGAGCAATCAACAAGGGAACATGGAGGCTGTTTAAGCATTAAATACCTTAAATAGGCACCATATATTCCTAGTTCCGAAATTGCAACATCCTGATGCCAAACACCTTCTCGGACCAGAAAAGCAAGAGAAGCTGTTGGAAATATTCTCTGCATCAAAATGTATGCAGCAAGTTCCTCAGTCCCTTGCTGCCGCAGCCTAATCAATGTTTCCCTTACATCGTCACCATAAATGTTGTTTCCTGGAAGTGGATTTACAGCATACCAAGTTGTCAGGTGGGAGAAATAGGAAGCCAAGTAGAGACTTGCAATAAAGAATAACCTCCTCCTTCTCGTTGGGGTTTGAGAACAAACAAATCAGGTTTTTCTATAGCAGACTTCACAGCATCTGGATCATCCAAACTCCACAACCCTGCAAAGCATTTCCGCACTTTTGCAATGTCCTCAGTATCAAGGAACCTGCAACACAAGCTAAAAATTACTGAGCAAGCAAAAGCATATGCTATATGAAGCAAACAACACAGATATGATTAATTTAACAGCCGCGAGAATATAATCATAGTTGTATCAACAAATTTGACCAGCTTCATTTGATCAGAACAAGGAAAACTTCTAAATTATCATATGCAGGCATAATACCCAGTTTGGTGTTTAGCTAATTCACAGGCATTTTAGATGTCTCAATGTCATATCACTAGCATCTTCAATAATATCTTGGTGCTTATCTCTCGAATTCGATAATATACTTCTTCATGCAACCATGGTTCGTCTTACTGGTCCATACCGATATACCGACTTGTCATGGACAAACATATAAACAAGATCTTCGATATAATGCTCATGCATGTCAGTGTCTATCGGTTTTATTCATGCTTTGCACAGCATGCAAAGGGCTTATAGTAGGCTTGGCGATCCCATTTTAGTTGGCTTTTATGATTGTGATAGGCTTGTATATGCAAGTTGTGTGCAGTCGTCGCGCATATGCAAAACTGCCCAAAAATAGACCATCCAAGCAACCATTTTGGGGGTTTTCTAACTCCGTAGAGTGGTGCGGAGTGTCAACCGGCGTAGCAGCAGGAGCTACTCGGGCGACACATGACTAGATAGGCGTTTGGGGTAGTGTCTAGTGCTGGTTTGCTGCTTTGTTCCATTGCAGTGTCATATGGGCACTTGTGGGGACTTTTGACCATGGGGTACCATTTTGGACCCTTTATCGCACGACCATTTAGAACTTACGAAGTTTAAGTTTGTAATTTGAATTGCCTATTAAATGTTTATTGAAGGACTACTTGTGGGATCCTAAGCTAAACGCTTCCTCTATCTTGTCTTCACTTTTGCAGGTCCTTAAGGGACCATAAGAGGTTTCGGGGAGGCCGACCCTTTGCAGACGGACACGCAAGGGTACCGCACGACTTAGGCAAAACCAGCTAAGTTCATGATAGACTGACCATCGGTAAGGTACGTACCAACATACCGACACACGGTATAATGTGGTGTACTGACAGACTAGCATGCACCGCTCATATCAATCCCTTGTTTGATTGATACATACCGCCCATTACTGACGTTACGTCGTGGTACGACGAACGTTGTATGCAACAAACCATGGGTTCCAACATAACCTAAGAGATATGATTGCTAATGAAGAAACCAAAAAAGATACTTTCATATTTGCTAGCGAGGGTGTAGTATGCTTATGGTGCCAATAATCATATATATTAAATTCAATCTTAAAGAGTATTCATAGTGATTGAACAATAAATTTTCACTAGGAATATGGTGTCTTATTTAAATTTATTGAGAATAAACAATCTCTATCAACTGGTAAAGACAATAACAATTCAATGCACCTTGCATTGTTCTAAACATGGGGATTTTGGTTCTAAGATTAGTAAGATAAGTTATTGCACAATGTAAAAATATAGAACATAAAACTACCAAAAGGAAAATGTGTGATTACCTAGCTTCATATAATAGCCCTATCAAGGCAGTAAGGAATGGCAATGACAGATGAGATATAAGATATAATAAAAATTTGTGAATCATTGATTTTGCCAAATAATTTATGACACAAGCAAGAAAAACCTTTCCAAGACATTTGGTTTTGCCAATTCTTGTTGAATCTTCTTTGTTCCAACCAAATGGTAGGAGATTGAGGGGCACTTGATAGCAGATGACTTTTCCATCAAAAACCTTGCTCGCCATTCCTGTGATATGAGTGTGTAATAAAACACTCAAATACCATTATAAAAGTTTACAAAAAATCACTTCAACTCATATCACAACAGAAAACCAAAGATATCTAAATAAGAGAGACTAGACGATATCACATACTGCTTCTGAAGGATAATCATTTGGCGAGTAACCAGCTCGGAAATAGATCACAGCAACTGTTTGTCCATCACTGCATTAAGGACAATAACTGCAATATATTAATGCAAATAAAACTCTTATTAATTTCAACTCCGTAAAGGACTTGGCTAATTTAATAGGGAAAAGTACATACACTACAAGTGATCCATCAGGCAATACATGTCCTTGTGTATCTATTTCTGATAAGGTCTTGCGGATAGTGGCCACGCCATGCGTGTTAGAATGTTAAGAAAAATGTGCTGGCAGAGGACTTGATGATGACACTACATGAAATGCTAATCCAATAAACCAAATGTCAAGCCAGATGTTAAAAAAAAATGTGACCTCTTATAATCTATGATAATCCTGGATAAAAAGGGGGAAACCCCATAGTTTGACACATTTTATCTGAAGTGACAAAAAGAGATTATTTTCTTGCAACAATGCATCTGCATGATTTATGGTTTGCGAGTACCCTGTTATTAACATAAAAAAGCCTACTATATAATTGTTATTCCAGATGTCAACCAAAAGAAAGAAACTAAAATGATATCTTATAAT